CAAATAATAAACGCTACAGAAATTAGGTTTTTGAGAAAAGTACACATAATCAAGGGTATGTAAATCGCAAACATTATTATTTATGAAATAATAGTACAAAAATTGCCTTGTGAATCGGGGGAACAAAATATCCCCCATCTGGGCATTAACGATCGAGGTGGTAGAAGTCACCAAATGGTCAAATAAAAAAAAAAGAATTTAAGGATAACTCTCGCCGATCTTATTAACCTGCAGGAGTTTGACGAGCTGATAATTAGTCCCTAGACACTTCTCAACCAGGAGGATGTATCTGGAAGATCCATAATGGGCTTAAGTGAAGTGGGGGAAATCCATCTACCCCACCTTATAGATATAGAAAATTACAGAAAAAATACACAAGCGTTGTGCCAAGAAAAATATGAAATAAGGGGAGAGAAAGACGATGCAGTAAAAGGTATAAACTAGAAGAGTGTAAAAGAAATAAAAAAAGAAACAGAGAAAAATATGTAAGACAAGAAGAAAACGTCTATAACTTCAGACGAAACTTTAATGTCATTTTAAGGGCTACTTAATGTCTAATATGATCTTGTTTATGAAAAAATAATTTAAATATTTTGACTAAAAAAATGTAAAAAATATATTAGTTTATAATGTCTTATAGTCTATTTAACAATCCCAATGCTTAATAAAAATTTGAGGGTCTAATTGAAATTTTATTTTCCCTTTTATGAAAACTGTAAACAAAACGTGTAACTTTTCTAATCGTATTCTATATATAAAAAACCAAGTTCTTTAGTTGAAACTAACATAAAAAGAAGTACTTGCTGAGCGACTAAAAAATGACATGTTCGCCAAATTTTAACAAAATTGTATATTTCGCAATATACTTGTGCTATTTATGTTACCTAGAACTATGACCTTCTGATCTTTATAGTAACTAAATTAAAAATAATAAGACATTTAATAAGATTAGTTTAAGTAATTACCGTAATACTAATTTAGGGAAGTACCATATTTATAAGTTTAAAGCAACTGCAGTAAAATGCACCTAAAAGATAATCAATTAACAAAAGCTTCAGTGAATACATATCGACAATATGCGAGTTCGGCAATGCGAGGTTTTAGAAGCTATTTGTAGGTAGCAGCATCAATGCACACACCTTATTAGATTTGACAGTTGAAACTAAGCGCGATTAATAAGCGCGCTAACGTGAATGGTCTTAAAATTTAACTTATTTTTCATTCTATACCAAATTAACTTTTACTTTTTTACTTTATTGAAAATTATGACCAGAATTTGTGGTTGTACAAAAACACCTAGAAGTTTTAAATATTTGAACGTGAAAGTGATTTTATTTATAGCCTACTGTTAGTAAACCAGCATAAAACATACAGACACAATTTGAGGTAAAGATTTTTCGATTGCTGGAACATAAGCGCCTCTAGTGAGAACCAATTTCAGTAAACGTCCCCATTCCAGGAAATTGTATGGGTCAGAAGTGTTGGTCAGAACTGTCGCTTAAGGAGGCACCAAAGAATCAATAAGCAAACACAAATGGGACGTTTGGGGCCAAAAGTTAAAGGAGTTCCAATTGACCAAGTCAGGTAAAATGACATTGATAAAATTAAATAATGATATATGTCACAAATTTACGTTTTTCAATTTTCACCATTAGTGTATCTGGTAAAATAAGTTTCTTGGAAAAAACGTGCATGTTGGAGATTATATTTCTTTAATGACAGTTTGGATAGTACAGGCATAATTCTATTTGTAGATCACACGATACTATTGATTCATAAAAGGGAAAATAAAATTGATTTAAATTATTTAGTATCACTAGAAATCACTTTCGAATATTGTTAAAAATGAATTAAATGTTAGTGTGGAATCTTTTTCCGTAAATCAATTCCTTTTTATCAATTTTATGTACTTTATTTTGCTAAGTTAGCAGCACTCACTTTTGTCTATGAACTTTTTAAAAATATCGGACTTTACTTTTCATTGATTCGACTAATCTTTAATATTTGTAGGTAATTATGTTTTGTGATCGGATGATGATAATAATAACCTTTTATTCTCCGAACTAAGAACTTTATTACCAACTTCCTAACCCTTAATTTCATTAGGGTAAAAAAATAGTGAGGCACTGCATCAGGCATATATGGTCTAAGATCCGAAGTAAGGTCGACCTTCACCCATCTTTTTAATGGATGAAAGTTTCTTTTTATTAAATAAAATATGTTTATAAATATACCGCAAATTGATTGCCTAAGAAAATACGGTCCAGACTATTTATTTTATTAAAGTAAAAAAAAACCACAGCCTGTAAAGTATTCCCCAGATACTTCGACTATGCCCAAACTAATCTGCTCACCGCAGGATGGATTAAAATTTGGTGTTTTTCTCTTCATCCGTTTTTGAGTTATCTTCAAAATTCGAAATTTGCACTTTTCCTCAAATATCTCGAATTAGGTCAATTTTAGGGAAATCATGTATAGGGACAAAAATAATAGAGAATGACATCATAAGCAACTTTTATCATGATTCGTATACTTTCCTTATATGTACACAGAAAGGAAAGTAAAAAATGGCCGTTACCGTATTTTCTTAGGCAACCCATTTGCGGTATATTTAAAAACACATTTTATTTAATAAAAAAACTTTTATCCATTAAACAGATAGGTAAAGGTCGACCTTACTTACGGATCAGGGACTAATACACAATCATCAAATGTATTCATCAAAGAGCAAGTGGTGGGTCAGTCTGCAGCCATAGTCGTTCAGGGTTGGAGTTGTTTTCTAATTTATTAAATTAAATGCAGTGGCGGCTGGTAACCAAAAAATTGGTGGGGTCACAATGACAGAATACAGAACTCAGTAGATTTAGGTAAAAAACGTTCAGTATTTACAATATACATTCCCAAAACACTGAAAGTTTTTTACCTAAATCTGTAGTGAGATCTATATTCTGTCACTGTAAACACCCAATTTTTATGTCACAAGCCGCCATTGATAAAATGTCTTCAGATAGTAATTATGAGTTGTACGCAAGTACGACAGTAACATTAATAATAGTCAAGGACAAGATTATAGTATTCATCCTGTGAATCAATGTGACGGTGATTTGGTGAATACCATCGTCTTTTTACTAAATTAAAACAACTCCCTGATAAATTTAGAGAATATATGCAAATGTCATTACCCAACTATATATTTTGGAATTAATTCAGAAGCTAGTTAATAGTTCAAAGAGATACTGCAGATTACATAAACTGCCTAATGACATGGAGGAACGACTTGTAAAAACTATTAAGTATTTTTTTGCAAATTCTGACGCAGTAGAAAAACTTAAGAGGTGAACCTGTCACATTCAAATTTTGTCCTATTGCTATCCGTATCTGTTGTGATGTTTTTGGTCCCGTTTGTCCAAAACTACAGAGTGAATAAATATTTTACTCAGTTTGTCTCTGTCCATATTGAAATACGCTACTAAACCGAAGTACGTGTTTCGTATAAAATACCTCCTCACACCTCGATAAATTACTACGGTACTGACAAAGTAAATCTATTCACAAGATATCGTTCGCACCAGAGTTCCAGTTTCAGACACCAATGCCTGCGGAGTATCTTGATATGAAATTATTATTGAGAATCTTGGTGCGGTTCCTCACTATAAAAAGGCTCCTTTGCCAGTGTGTATTTGTTCTATAGTGAAGTCGGTGGTTGGTGCTATGCTTAGTGCAATGTTTGGTGCGGTGCCTCACTATATTTTTACTCTTTACTCTTAGGGTATGGTCCGTTATAAACTGACTACTAACCGCAAGTAACCAGGATTTTTTGACAGTGGTTCCTGAAAAAAACTAATTTCTTGGTTACTTTTGGACCACGGCTGACATTTGCATCAATTTTGTGACAAATTGACATTCGACTTAATGGAAACCGCAAAAATATACCGGTTAGTGAATTGACATTTGAGTCAACATTTTCAGGTAACCACATCCCTAATTTAACCTATTTTTCAGGAATGTCAAGCAAAGCGGTTAGTTTTGGACCGAGTAACCAATATTTCGGTTAATAACGGACCATACCCTTAGCTTACCACGACTGTCAACTGTCTACAGTGCCAAGTGGGCACAATGCCACGTGTCAGCTGTCTACAGTGTCACGTGTCAACTGTCTACAGTAGGTGAGTTCAGAGAGTCAGGGGCTGCAACGGGATAAAAACGGAGATTTTAAGGGTGCTTTTAACTGACATTTAAGCGTATTAAATTGTCAATAATCGGAATAAACGAACGCTAAAAGGGTCGTTTGGAGTTAAAAGATTTAATCGAACTTGGCTATCCGAACTTACCTAGTGCCAAGTGTCTAGATACAGTATCAAGAGTCAACTGTCTACAGTGTCACGTATCAACTGTCTACAGTGTCACATATCAACTGTATACAGTGCTAAGTGTCAACTGTCTACAGTGTCACATATGAACTGTCTACAGTGTCACATATCAACTGTCTACAGTGTCACATATCAACTGTCTACAGTGTCACATATCAACTGTCTACAGTGCTAAGTGTCAACTGTCTACAGTGCTAAGTGTCAACTGTCTACAGTGCCAAGTTCCCAACTCCTCTTATTGTGACTACTGTAACTTCTTCCTTAGCTATATTCTACCACCGACCAGCTAAATTATTATATTTTCTTTACACTTGCAAAATTGTTTTACTGATTTGAAAGTCGTGAATTATTAATTTGTTTAGAAATAATCATGGAAATTAATAAGAACTATGACAGTATCAGTCTTACTATACAATTAAGGCGAATTTGTATAAGTAGATTTATAGTATTAAATCTGAGATAAGTAAATACCAAAATATAGTCATTCTGAATAAAAATTGAGCAACTGTAGAATTTTCAGACTTAATAGTTTACACATTAACTACCAAAAATAAAAACCGATATTTTTAAAATGCCCATATAATACTGACCGATTTAGTTAATATTATCTACAGTGCATACCACACATAATTATCCGAATAGAGCATTTTTGATGCTCTTCACCAACGGGAACTTCCCTTCATGTCTGCCTTCGATTTGGCAACTAAAATTGTAATCGTCAGAATTGAGACTCCACACCATGGCACCGCCAAATCGCTGTTCTCTGATATATTCGGCCTTGTAAGTGAGACTCTGAGTGTTTTCGAATGACACCCATTCGTAGAACTTCGAAGCGTATGGGCTTTTGGTGTCCATGTCGAATACCGGAGAGATCTGATTGACGGCGAGGAACTTACAGATGTCGGGGTAGTCGACGAAACCGAAACTGCCTAGACGGCCGTAGCCGAAGGCTGGGGCGTATAGGCCATTGTTTTTGGAGTTGGCTAATCTGAAAAATAAAATTATTCTATAATAACAATTTTTACCCGCTGTTTTTTATGGTATACTTTAGAACTCTCTTGTCCAACAATTTTGTCCTGGTAGTCCCAGTACCCAAATCCTTTAAAACAAGTCTTAAAGAAACAACCAGAGATTTTTGAGAAGTTGCGAAAGTTCAAAATGACTAAGGATACAAGGAGAAAACCTTTCAGATACTAGAAAAAAAAGACAACCCATGACAATAGACATTTCCCAATTTTTTTTTGAAATACTATATAGTTCACAGTACGTCCACTCTTACTTTGGTTGATTACCACATATTTAAAAACTTCATGAGTGCCTAATTGCTGATTGCTCACAGTGACACTTCAGCAGTTAGTTGTATTTAATGTTAACAAAATGGTAAGGGGTAAAGCTGTGTCTAACGATTTACGTCAAGTTATTGTCAATTTATACAATGCTTGTAATTCTGGTGCTAAAATTGCTAAACAACTGCAATTATTTCGCTATACTGTACGAAATATAGTCAAATTATATAAAATGACAGAAGCAGTTTAAGGAAAACCAAATTTGGGTAGAACTTCAAAAATAACCCCGATCAATATGAGAGCACTACGTCGTATTTTGAAACAAAATCGCCGTGCCAATTGTGGTGAATTAAGTATATCTTGGAATAGAGCAACAGGAAATAATTGTTCAAGGTAATTTTTCCTAGAGCTATCAAACGATTGGGTTATAATTTCTACGAAGTAAGTTATTTTCGAAAATTTATGTCACCGAGAAACAATAACGAAGAATTTTTTTTTGCAAGCTAAAGGAAAACCGCTGTTAACTGTAAGACAAAAAAAGAATAGATTAGCATGGGCCAAAAATCTTAAGAAGTGGTCTCAGATGCAATGGGATAGTGTTATTTTGAGTGACGAATCACGATTTGAGGCATGTATTGGAGATTATCGAAGAAGGGTATTAAAGACAAAAAATTAACCTTATCATCCAGACTATTTGCGTCGAAAAGTCAAGTTTCAAGCTTCTGTAATGATTTGGGAAAGGATGTCGGCTCAAGAGGTTGGCAAGTTGCACATCATAGAAGGGACTGTTAATGCTGTTAGATACATTGCCATCCTTAGAGACAGTCTAATGTCATCCATTGAAAGCTCAAAAACAATAAATAATGGATACATATTCCAACAGGATGGCGTTGCGTGTCATACTGCTAAAATAGTAAAGAAATGGATGTTGCAAAATAATATTCCGATTTTAGATGGATATTCAGTAGTGCCGATCTGTCACCAATTGAAACATTTGGCATAATATGAAAAAAAAAAAAAAAAAATTACCAACTACTCCTGCTTGAACAGTTTCTGAATTAAAAGAGAGACTAACTCAAATTTGGAACTTCTTCACGGCTGTAGATTATAAAAAGTTAGTAGATACCATGCCAAAGCGAATTGAAGCAGTTCTGAAGCAAAAAAAGGGAGATTTTACACTGTGGTAAAATCACCGGTGCCCTTCCATGATTATTGGGCCAAACGAAATGATTCATTGTTATCTTATTTAATTTAGTGTTTTGTGTATATCTCTAATTTTCTAATATTAATTTTAATAAAAAATGTTGATAAACATGTCTCAAATTATAATAAAAATAATTGGATTTGATAGATTTTTCCTCTGTATTTACCAATGTTGTCTGAAATAAAATAAAAAATATAATATTGAATGGGCCAAATGATATGATTCTGGGCTCGTATTACCTTGCTACTTAAAAGCAAAAATTGAAATTAATTCTTAATGTTAAGATTTAAAGGTAGCTTGAAAACATCAAAAGCAATAATTATGAGAGACCGTTAAAAATTCATATTTTGAGCTACATTTTTTTGAGGTACAAAATTCTACCGTCACGAGCAAAAAAATAAAAAAAAATCGAATTATGACTAATTTTGAAAAAATTTGAGCGACCCATAAAAAATTTTTTTTTTTGAGCTGCCCTTTGGAGGGGTCTCTTAAAAAACGATAAATTAACATATTTTGGTACGAGACTAAAAAAAATAGTCGGTTTTTTTGCGCCACCCTAATAAGTAGCTCCTTTTTCATTTTGATCAACTTATTATAGTCGAAGAATTTGTAGAATCTTTTACTGAAAGGAAATTAAAAATAGAGAAATATAAAAGAAAAAGGTAAACAGTTTTAAGCCAACATGTTGAAAGCCAGAGAGAATGCGGATAGCAGATATGAGAGAAGCAGATCAGAGGAGAGAAGGAGTAAGTGGGAAAGTGAAAAGAGAAGAGTAAAGAATTTGAAAATTTATTTTTTGCTTTATAAAATTTGGTGTTTGTAACTTTTAGAATCAAACTATTTGAGTATTGAAAATTTTTGGAAAATTGACATATCAGTACATAAAATATGGAGATATATCAAAATGTGAAAAATCGGTATGCAATTTTCAAAATTTTCGAATTAGTTTTTTGGAGCCGCTACCGTTAGTGATATACCAGTACATATATACATTTTCGAAATCTACGCGACGGGTTCTATGATATAAAAATCATTTACTTTTTGCTAAATTTTAAAAATTGTGAGATGTTCTGGCGATGTACTGTGAGAAGTTGTAAAGCCAAAGTATGGACCTTGGGCTAAGACAATGTAATTTCTAGAACTGAATTAACATATAATCATGTCAAAGATAAGATGTTAAAGTACTTAATAGACAGATAGGTAAGTTTAATTTGATTTCAAATATTTATTGCTACTGATAAATGATGATCAAAAAAGGTATAGAGGGAAATGCATGGAACACAATTTTTGACTTCGTAACTTTGTTTAGACTAGTTAGGAGGTGAACATATCAAACGTCCCAGCCCGTAGCCTTTGAGCCAGGGGGGGGAGAGTCTCAAGGCCCCATTTTTCGATTATATCTCGAAAACTATGCGCCCTACCGATATGACCCCTTAATATAATATAAAAGCTTTTTAAATTTCTGCAAGTTTTTCGATATCTTGTATAGTTTTAGATATATAATTTTTTAAAATTTTGTAATTTTGGAAAAAAACATTCTTGCCTCACATATTTTGCTCTTTTTGACCGGATAACTATTCAACGATGCACCCAAAAAATAAATGCCGACCATAGGGTTGTAAAGAATTAAATTCCCTTCAATAATATACAGGGTGTCCCGAAATTAAACGGTCATATTTTAACAGCGTAATCTACAACCTAAAACAGGAGTAAAAGTTCACATAAACATAGGTCCGAAAACGTTTGGTTTTCGAGATACAGGGTGTTACAAGTGAAGTCCTGATAGCACATTTTTGTAAATAATTCCTAACATTTCTTTAGTCACCGGTTTTCCAAAGTTAAAAAAAAAATAAAATTGCTGATTCCACAGGCCTACTAATTATTGTTTGCACTTTCGAATAAGATAACATCACCTTATCATGAAATTTTCAAATGTTTTTCTCTTGAAAATGGTGAGTCCTAGCAAAATGTAACATAAGTAGCTTTATAATAACGAAAACATTGGTTTTCCAAATTTTAAAATAAAAAATGTTAAAAAAAAAACAATTTTACCCTAAGCGCCCCCTAATTTACCCACCTATGAAGATGATCAAAAACTGGGGTTTAGTCCATTAAATAGAGCGTAAAAAGGTAAGCATTTGTACCAAATTTTACTAGTTATCTTTAAACGTTTAAAAAATATTTACAAAAGTGTGTCATCAGGACTTCACTTCTAACACCCTCTATCTCGGAAAAGAAACGTTTACTTTATTTTTTTATCTATTTTCCGTAAAATGTTAAAGCAATTTCAAAATTTGTTATTCTTTCTCTAATAAATTTTGATTAATCCGTCCATAGAATTCTCGTTAAAAATGTAGCATCCTCAATATTTGCATTCAGAAAAAGGGCTCATGCTTGTATAATGAATAGAGGTAGCCATTTTGAAAATGAATGAGTTGACCTTGTCATTGAAGAATTTATGCGTGCATATGGAGGTATTAAAACCGAGCAACAACAAGATCTGCTCACGGTTCCTAAAGACTACTCGCTGGTCCATAGCACTTCCGCCAACATCAACGATGCTCGAGGTCTGGCATCTGTGTTCCGGAAGAAGTTTGGTCGATTGCCAGAACTTCAAGATGTATCGCGTTATCTTTTCTATTTCATAACGAAGAACACCTTCCGAGATCGATCCACTTATCATGATGTATAGGAAGCATTACTTGGTCTGAGGTAGCACGTACTGGAGTCCAATGTACAGAAACTAGCCATGCCAAAGATAGAGAGCAACCACCTAAATTGGAGAATCATTAGAAATAAATATGTTTTAAGTAATCTTCCACGATTCCGAGATCCGACTACCGGTCTGCAGCCATTCGCCCAGGGTCCAGGTTTCAATAAAAACCGTCCCTTGTTACTTCCATGCAATTGGAAATTGTAAAAGAGGATCCAGTTGCAAATACAATCATTCAGTTTTAGTTCCAGGAGGAATTATTTCTTAAGGAGGGGGCAATGATATGCTTCAGCCGTCTCTGATCCTTGTTTACTCCTTCCCAGCGGTATGAAGTCCAGCGTTGGCTATAGAGACAAAGCACCGCTTCGAGAAATTACCGGATTGATCCCTTTGCGGCGTATGAGTCATAGAAAGGCAGTTTTAGATCGTTCTGGAAAGCCTAGAGAGTTCTAGTCCACAGCTGGCTTTATATAAATAGCGCGAGTTGTTGACGGACGGGAAGATTGAGTTTAAGTGTTGGACAGAAAAGATAAATTGTAATAAATAAATTAGAAATTTGAGTTATAATAGTGCCTAAGTAATATATAAATTAGTTAGTACTAGTACGTTATAAATAAACTGTAAATAAAGTGTTTTAAATAAATAAATTAAACGAACGTTACTATATTAAAACTGATTCCACTTTGGGCAGAATTTAGTGCTAATATGGACAGAACAACAAACGCGTGCGAATCATTTCATTCGCGATTTAACGCAAGTTTTTATAAAACCCATCTAATGCTGCGTTTGAGAATCCACATCGGACGCATTTTTTACATCTCGAGCGTTTTTTTATCCACATCGGACACATCTGTCCCATTACATTTACGTATACTGAATCACGTGATCATTACTGACCTTTCAAAGGTCTTTTCATGGTACGAATATACAATCGTGACTCGGTCTCAAAATACGCGTAAATATATTTTAATCTACTAATAGGCAACTCAAATTACACGTGACTTGATGAATTTGTTTAATAAATTACCTCTCGAAATGACAAATAAAAATTTGAAATGATTAGGATTCAACAATTTATTATTATTTATTGAACTTGTAATAATAAAGTAGTTTTAAAATGAATCAGAATTTTTAGTATTGCATAGATAAATTTGTTTCCATTTCAAGGGGTTAACATCAGTAACATCAGTGTCACTAGGTAAGCCTAACTCGGTATGGTTTGCGATTTAGGATCGCCCATCGAGGAGCCGGTCAAACAAGCATTAATTGCTGGTGCTCAGATCGAGTAGTAAGCAAATTTTTTATCCTCTATCAAGTGTGCAGTTCAAGTAAACCATTTATATTCTCAGGTAGATAGTGCCCAATTCGAGGCCGCCCTTCAGTATAATATAAACAAAAACAATACTTTACACGAATATTCCCAAGTTTCATAACATATTACGCATTCTTCAAAAAGTTTTACCAGAATTGTATTTTTAAATCATGAATTTACAGGTTCCGGTAATTATTTTGTCACCTTTATAGTCTATTTATAGAAAATGAATTGTTCATTATTTCAATAACGCTGATTTAAAACTGAAACACAATGAAATGCATACAGTTACTTACCCAAGAGATAAAAGAAAAACTTACTTGAAAGTATGGCCATAAGTAGGAAGTCCGACTACGATTTTCGCCCTGTCCATTCCCAAATGGTTCCAGTAATTCGCCGAAAAATTGACGTTCAACGTTCCAAAGATAAATATTTCGTTTTCTGAGGAATAGAGGGGGCTATTAAATCCAGTGAACGGCGTCCATTTCGAATAAAAATGGTAGTCATAGGACATCACGTTTATGAAATCGACGTAACTAGAATTTTGAAGAAAACATTTTATAATGATATTTATTCGTCATACAAACATTTACAACGGCATTGAAGGGGGCACATGTATAAATAAAAAAAAAACAAATAAATTAAGCACGGGAGTGTACAACCTGAATTCCGCTAGTGCATTTCTACATCTTAAAAAATTAAAACTGTTTTTCATTGTTACCATGCCAAAAAGAGCAAGCATTTAAGACATAAACTTCCAAAAATACAGGGCGATTCACACCAAACTTCCAGTCCCGATTTTTAGGCCGCCTTATAATACAACTACTTCCAGGGCTATATGTTCAACTGGAAATTAAATGACAGAATTATAAAACGTGTTTGCGACTGACTATGTCGATACAACAAATCCTTGATACTCGTTAGGATTTTTTTTTTTGTATATTTATTATTCAAACAGGAAATATAATAAATATTGTTACTTTCGTTATATTTATTTATATTTAATATTTAAAAGGAACTTTTCGCGTGCACAACGCCAGAGGTAGGGATATAAAGGTGATAAAAAGGTTTTGTATCTTTTCGTTCGATCAACTCTTTCTTTCTTCTCTTATTGATAAAGAGTTTGTTTTAATCAAAGTGAGGTCATCGAAGTGATGGTTTAATATTGTTACGCAGCACCCTGTAGCGTGCTGCGGTCATCATAAGTAAAGATACGAGTAAATAAAGAAGATATAATAATTCAGAAATGTCCCGAAATGTCATTCCTTGTCAAAGAAAAGTCCGGATTGTTCGAGAAGGTTTTAGAAGGTCGAGGCAAGCTATATAAGTCGACGACCTGACGTCACTTAGCAGTTGTATGATAGACGTTACATGTTAATGTTACCAGTTTTATCGTTATTGTTAAAGTTGAATTGAGTTATTGTACAGTTGAGTTGAAATAAATTGTGATACCAAAAACCAGCGTAACAATATTTAGCAATAGATAAGGTAGAAGCTTTTTCTTTATTGTTCTTAAAGTTAATTGTTGGCTAAACGCTGCATTAGAGCGTTGTTTATCGATTAAGGGCATTTGTTGCAGGGATTTAGTTATTAACTGATGTATATTCCACTAATTTAGGTTTATATCGTTGTTTAGGGATGGATTTCATTAATTTAAGATGAACAAGGAAGTTTTCAGCTATTTAAGTTTTTTTTTCGAGAATATTCTTTATGTCTTAGATAATGGATTTTGATCTTTATTGCGTCGTAATTTGACGTGGTTCATTTTATGTTTTAACACCTACAACTTATAGTTCACCGTACAACCCGCACCTTCTAATGAAAGCCATAGACGGTAGGCTCCCGTCGGGTAAATCCGAAGATCTGGAACCTTGTTCTTTTCAAAACGGAAAATTGTAAAATTCTAATTAGATAAATCTTGAGCCTAATCACTATAAATTTGCCTTGACAAACCAGACAATTCCAGGTAAAGGCTTGCAGTGGCACCTAATGGGGCTTAATATTTTTTACTGACACTCAAAGAAAGTGTTGCAACCCTTTGATTTGGTCTTAGAATGTTAGTAAGAAGAGGAATTTCAGACTCATCAGGCAGAAATCAGCTCGAATAATCTCTAATCTACTCTGAAGATGGTTTGACAATTTGAATCATACATGAAAGTGTCTTACACCGTCTTAAAACGTTCAATGTCTAGTTGAATCTACAGCTCTGGGAGTAGTTGTTTTGTGTTATAAGGTCACTGGATAATTCCCGACTAAAAATCGAAACTGGAGGTTTTGTGTCAATCATCCTGTATTTCTGTACCTATTGCCTTCCATTTGAGAGCGGCTTCTATCTCCAAATCATAAAATGAATATAGCCCATATCAAAGTTGGCTACTGACGTTAGATATCTGTCAAACTAATAAAAAATTTTGAAAAATTGTTCAAAAATGGAAATTTTTTGAAATATGATCAAGATATCAGGGAAAATTTGTTTCTAATTGACATTTTACGTCAACATACTGATCTTTAATGAAATATGCCGACTTGCATTAATTGAAAAAAACAGACAACAAATTCATACCAATTTGCTTCTGCATAATTTTAATATTCTTAAAAAAATAACTGCACCGTCGAATAATATTAACAAAAACTGGCAAGTTGTGTTGGAGTGTTGTGAGTTTTTTGGCTGGTTATTACCTTATTATCTTCACACATAAGTCTGTAAAGAAGTATTATGCATTTCGTTCCGTCCGTACGATGTCACGTTTTTTTTTTCGCACAATAAGTAAAAAACGAAACATGATATAAAAAAAAATCCTAACTCAGAAATAAAAAACGATATCAAATTGAAATATTACAGAAAAATAAAGCTCTATAAAAAGATAACGCTTATTGATTTTGAAAAAAATCAGACTGAAAATGGGGGTTAAGGGGTGGTTTGTGAAACTGTGAAGAGTATAATATAGAATGTCAAGCATTATATATCTTCATTCTAGTTTCATTTTCTATTTAGGACAACGAAATCATTCACTACAGAATCCTTGTAAAACCAAGTTAACTAGTTAAGAGCTTAAAGTAAATCTGACGTTTTGCAATCACATCGAAACTAAAATAATGTAAATCTCTACGTAAATATTCAAAATTCGTTCTCATTTTTTAAATAAAGTACTCATTTAAATCAACAAAGTTTAATTTACTTCTAGTGAAGTCAAGCATAGTCACATTTAAGCCAATAGATTACAGGACTCCTACTCGATAGAGCGGATTTTGCCTTAGTTTTTTACTGTGCTATTAATTTGAAATATATTATAATGACATTATGCAATTAAAAAATAAAAGAACCTTAAACCAATTACCTAACATGTGCAGCCTTGAACCTTCGCTTTGTATATCCATGCTATTATTGTTTGACTGATAACAAATAAAATTTCAATTTAATTTCTATGCTGTTTTTTCAATGGATCACCCTGTGCATTATTGCATTTTTTTATTCTCCACTAATATTCGATTCCAAAGTGAATCGTTAGAAAGTTACAGATTACTTCAATTTAATTAACGAAACGGTTTAATTCAGTTAAGTGTTAAATGCCTGTACTAAATCTAAAAATAACTAAACGATTTCAATTTAATGGAAACCAATCGAAGTCAGCTTCAACATCTAATAAAATAATTTATTTGCAGTCAGAGAGCGCGTAGCAGCGGCGTTGAATTTGAATATTTCGACGGTAAGCTCAATTTCCAGGCATTAAAGAATAACCATATTTTAAATTCCAATCCAAAGAGGCGACCAAATCCCAAACCTCTAACCGACAATTTCAATTCTGACTACATTCCTGATGTCATTTATGATATGTATAAGAAGAAACAATAAGTAACTCTTGTGAAATTATATAAAACTTTAACGCAAAAGATCATTGTATACAGTGTTAACCAATATATGATTTACATGAAAGAAAGATGGGCGGCGTCTTATAGAACTTCATCATGTTTCCAGTAAGAGTTAGTTTTTTAAAGTTATACACAAGTTCACAAATCTGTCTCTTTATAAATTTTTTTATCTGGATGGAACATGGATTTTTTTCAAAATGGCACAGTAAACCACTCTTGGCAAAATAACGATAAAAGGAGCGTAAAAACTACAATAGTTGATAGGAAAAGATTCATTGTTCTTCATGCTAGTAATGAAAATTGTTTTACTGATGAGACAGAACTGGTGTTTTCATCCCGACTATCATAGGGAAATGAATGAAGCACATTTTTTAAAATGGTTCGAGAATCAATTACTTGTGAATTTAACTGAGCCTTCAACGATTGTTATGGACAATGCTTCCTATTACTGCACTTTACTTTTTAAAACGCCCAATAATTCCTTGACAAATTCAGGATTGGCTGACGACACACAACATTCAATTTGATCAGAATATGTACAAACAAGATTTATTGAACATAGTTTTCAGAAATAAACCACCAAACATTTATAAAGTAGATCAACTTGCAGAACAATATGGCCACACCGTTATTCATTGTATATTTAACCAAATTAAAATGATGTGGCAATGACAACTCAATTCAAAATTCTTTAAGTATGTGGAGGGAAACACTACAGACTGTAACAACCCAAATCTGAGGGTTTATTCTCTATCTTTTAGCCGAACACGCAAAGCAACGAAAGCGCCAAGCGAACTTCTCAACAAAGTTTGATCACCAAAATGACAAGCATGCGATTATGGTATTCTCTAATGCTAGACGATTTTGCTATTCGTAAGTGATGATTGGTCTGAAAAACTATGGTTAGGATTTGAATATCATTATGACATTATTATAATTGATTAACCATTAAACATGGACGCGATAGTTTAAAAACAACTGGCTGGATAGGGTCCAAATGTAAACTTTATTAGAATATATTGAGGCCAATTCCAAAATTATAACGAATCAAAAACATGAAAAACAGCATTTTGCTGACATTTGTTATTCAAATCATAATATTTAGATCCATATTTTAATGTTTGACTTATCTACGTCCGCAAATCTTCGCCTTAAATGTCAAAACTTGAAGTGAGAACAGCAAAACGCTACTCATGTGTAAATTTTTTGAAAGCACAACAAGTAGAGAATACTAAAACGTTTGTTATATAAATAAAAATTTCCTTGGTTTATTCGGTCGTTTTTATTTTCTATTGTTTAGCACAGCACTACATCTGTTTCGGAAAACTTTTCCACCCTTGGAGACAAAATTTAATACTAAACACCTTCACACGCTGCTATTTAAAAAAAAATTAATTTGTTTGTAATCATCCCCATGTTTTTTTTTTTAAATTTTGATTGTACTCGAATATGGAAACGTTTTCCGAAACATATGTAGTGCTGTGCTAAACAATAGAAAATAAAAACGAGCGAATGAACCAAGGAAATTTTTATTTATATAAAATTCTGCTACGGTCAAGAAAGTATTCTTATTCAAAACATTTGTGCTTTACACTTTTGTTAGTTGTTTGTCGCGTTTCTAAAGACGCGCTCAATACTTTTAACCGCTGGTTATAGAATAAGTCCC